CCCTTTGTAAACTCTAGATTTTCTTAAAATCATTATTTTAAAGTCTTGATCATGTATTTTTCAATAATATTTGTTCTGTTGCTACAGATCTGTGTTCTTGTGGAGGCCTCATGTTGCCTTGCTTGTTCAGAATTGCTAGTTTACTTTGTTGATACTTGTCTACCTGTTGAATCAGTTACCCTCACCAGTTTTTATAAAATATTTTGAGCCTTTCTCCTGAAAAATGTCTTAGGGTATTGATTTTTTTAGGCTGTATTGTCTTAGTTTCCAGTTGTGTACTGTAGTAGAGTCTCTTTCAGCTGTACTCAATGGCTTTGGTCAGGGAGCATGCCTGGATCAAAGAGCCTCTTCCTCTCTGTGGGCCACATGGGGGTGGAAGCACTTTAGTAGTATAGGTAAAAGCAGTTCACACAGTGGTAGGATAGATAACCCTCTGTAGGATGATTCTGACAGTTGTGACCCCAGAGCTGTTGAAACCAGGAGGTATGTTCCCAGGACCTGCAGGGGTGAATCCCACTGGTACAAGGGCTTCCAACAAAAGCGGTAGTATCTCTGGTATTGTGATCCTCAATAGATGGGTGCTTAGCCCCCCCACCTTGGGCAAATTCCATTGATAATGGGGAACTTAAAGTGGCTCTAGGAGGGTGCTAGGATATGGACCCTGGAGGTTCCAGGGACTTTAGAAGCTGGGTCAGTGGGGTGTGTATCTCTAGTCTTCCTGATGATATATATGTTGCAGTAACAGGAGCTCTAGAACCAGAGAGGCTCACTCAGGCCCAGGGTGGCATGTGCTAAAGCTCTCAAAGCCAGTGGTAGCACAAAGTATTAGCAGGTAATAGGAGGGCATGATGGGGGTAAGAAGCCAGAGATCCCAGGAGCCAAGTACCTTGTTTTTTCTGGGCTCAGGTCAGTGTCCCCCACTGTGCTGAACAACCTTTTTCCTAGAGTATAAGACACTGCATGCATTTGAATACTAGGGTCCTGACTGCACTGGGTTTTACTGGGTTTGTGAACTGGATGCCTTTTGTACAAGTAGTATAATTTGTTTGTAGGGCTCCAAAGATGTGGATAAATGCAGAGACTTCTGTCTTCTAGGGTTGCATGAATTCCAACAGTTGCTTGGTTTTCAAAATGGTACCATGGACCCTAGATATTGAGACCCTGGGCATTAGGGAACACCTAATGCAAATTCTTCATTTAAAGCAAAGCTCCTATATCCATTCCAGGCAGCTCCTCTATTTGGGAGAGTTCTTCAACTCTCCTGTAGATTGCTGGCATCCACACTGATAGTGTCTGCTAGGACTATCTCAATCACCCTTTCTGCTAATGGTGAGTTACACCATCCAGGGAGCCCAGGTTGTACTTCACAGTACATTCTGTTCCCCTTTCTATGCTGCCAACCCAGGTCTCTGGGTCTTAACAAGGATTCTGTATCTCCCTTGTTGAGAACTACTGTTCTCCTTCTTCCATTAATCTTGAAATGTAACTGTTCACTTGTTTGGGTTCTTCTGGAAGAGATGACCACTCAGCACCTCTATTTGGTCATCTTGAAGTCTTCCATACTTAGTTTTTATTTTCAAATCAACTTAGCCATTGTGATTTTCCTGTTTCTTCAACTAGCAAAGCCATAACCATCAAATCTACTGTTCTTATAGTTAGTATTGGCCCATGTTCATGTGGAGGCCTGAAATATTAGACACCAGAATACTCCCAAGATAGCACCAGTAAGAGAGAGGTGGTTAGACTGACTATGCTGCTCCTCTAAGTGGTCCAACTCCATAATTCTCATATTACTGTCTGCTTTCTTCAGTCACTTTTGGTATCAACTGCCTTTGTTTGGCTCCCTGAGAAGCAGACTCTGCAGAAAATTTCATTTTAGGAACTATTCTTATAGTCATTTCAGTTGAAGGACTTCAACTGACCACAGTGGAGCTGTGAACATGGAATCAGTGACCCTGCAGGATTATCCTGAACTGTGTGTGCAGCCAATCTTTTATCAATTAAGTTTTTATCAAGTTTTTTGAATGTGGGCTTTCTAAAACCTGTTCCAAAGATGACTGGCTACTTAGGGCTATCTACCTGCAATATTTCCAGCAGCTATCAAATAAAGCCTTTGTTCCTAAGAGGTGATCTGAGAGCTTTGACACAGCATTCTTGTTTGACTTATTCTTGTTCATCTGAGTGAGAATTTTATTGCTTTGTTAGCTCTTTTATTTTATTACATTTATTTATTGTACTATGTTGGAGAAGATAAACCTGTGGAGGTTAGAGGACAACATACTGGAATTGATTCTCTTCTTCCACCATATGGAACCTGTGGATTGATTACCCTCAGGTTGTCAGGCTTACTTGTAAGCACCTTTACCCTCTGAGCCATCTTGTGGCCCCCTAAACTTCTTTGTAGCTGTTATTCCATTCAGACTCCGAAGCATGATTCTTAATTTGAATTGTTAATAATTAGTTCTATTTTTTTATGTCTCCAAGTAGTAAATGATTTTTTGTAACCCCTTTATATAATTCTATACTGAAATGAGGTTTTTTTTAAAAAATCTTCTCTACTAGTACTTCTAGTCTCTCATGTAGCTTTAGTGCTTTTTATAGTTTTAGTAAGTAACTAGTGAAACTATAGAGTCAGCATTACATGTTATAGTTCTTTAAATATGCATGAAGCAAAAAGCTCATATTTTATAACCTTTTATGCAGACATTATGCTCAGCTAATACAATTCCAGCAGAAAAATAAATTGAATTTTCTTCTAGGAACGGTAATAAACTGCTAGTTGCTGTCTACTCTTTGTGGTAGCAGAATAGTTCAGTCCTGTGAAGATAACTGCCGTATCAAGGCACTGAGCCTTCGAATCTTTAATTGGAAAGATGCTAACTTATGTATGACTAAGCAGATCCAGGTTTGAGTACCTTGTGATGTCCACTTTGAATAATTGGGATTTGTGTTGAATTGTTCCTAGTAGCATGGTTCTCTCTTTTCTGGATTTTGCTTCTTTCAAGTAGCTCAGAACATTGACTGCCTTTCTTAGTAATTCTTAAAAACCTCTGTGTCTGTTAATCACAAATCACTTTCTTGTGCTGACTACCATTTCAGATAATTTTAAAGCTGTAGCAGTTTACTAACATTCTTCTTGAAATAGTCACCATGGCCAGTCATATTTAATTATTCAATAATCATTTGAACACATACTCTTTCCAAGCACATAGAATCCACAGACAAGAATCAATTAAGCAAGGATCCTACCCTCAAGAAGTTCCAAAGACCTATATGAATTCATAATATCACCATGAAATAACACCAGAGGAAAATTATGCCCCAGGAGAAGAAAGATTTGGGAGGAAAAGGGGAGATGTGAGCCACTTTTGAAGAATTAATTTACAGAATGGTTGTGAGGTAGGAGGGTAGGCACACACAGAATGGCATGTGCAGAGGGTAGTAGAGGAGAAAGAGTATGAGAAAATCCAATGACAGCTTGGCTCTGTTCTTGTATGTAAATAGTAGGGAAGGAACCTGGAAATACGGGCACATGGGCTTCCCATTACAGATGAAAGGTTTGTTTTACAGCTGAAAGAAAAGGAATTAAGTCAAATTTGCATGTTTGTTTCTTTCACTGTTCTAAGGGCAATACAGAGGATACCTGGGAGAATGAGAGGAGATTAGTGGTCGGTTTATCATCACACAAATCCTAGATATTGCTTGGGACTTTGCTGGATAAATATAAAAGTGAACACTTCATTCA